GGGCAGGTTCCTCATGGATAATCTATTTGATTTTTGGAAGTTCTTTGTGGGGCTTTGGTCTGTGTTCCAGAATAGCCAGTCTGCCTTTTAATTGGGAAGAACCTGTTAACTCATCAGGTGGTTACAGGTGACTGACTGGTGACTAGTGTACTGCCTTGCAACTCATAACCAGTTACGTTCTAGAATGGAGCTCAGTAACGATAAGACGAACTTCAAAACTGCCAATAAATCTTGAACTCTTTCTAAATGCAGTTGTTGCATGGCCTAACTCTAAGATCCTTGGCTTGGTTAACATGAAAGTGTGTCTATATCCAGAATTAGGAACAATGTTTGGGAAAGTTGTTACTGAAATAGGAAATTAATTCTGTTCTGTATGTGTGAACCTCATCAGAGTGGAACACAAGTATCCAAGTAGGTATGAAATTTTACTGGAAAGGAAAATGAATATTATGGGGGGAAATCACTTAATCATTTGCCACTTGAAAGAGAATAGATAATTGGAATCTATGTACAGCTTTCAATGTATAGGTTTAGTTTCTCAGCTGATCCCGTTGGAGCATCGATTTACAGAATATAGGGGTGAAGCTTGGACTCTCGGTTTTGACTTGCACTGCTGGGTTGCATCTGTATTTTGTGAGTTCATTAAGAGCCTATGTAGCTGGTGCAAATCGGAGCATGCTGTAATACTAAAATACTCAGAGCTTCACTGCATTTTGGTTAATAGAACAATCACAGTATTTTCTAAAATACGTAAGGATGAAGAGGGGCGGGCAGGAGCAAACTGTTAAGTAGCTCTCTTGATGCTTGTTCATACGCTATCTGGTTTGTGGAATAAGAATTTGAAAGTTTTTTTTCATCTGTACACTGGATTGCAGGTTTCTCTTTGAAACATTTAGATCTATTACCCTTTTTTTTACCCCTTACCTCTGCAGTTGTTGCAGAGCTAGTGTCTTAACCTAGTACTAGATCTTCTGTCTCTCAAGTAAGCTTTTAGCCTGCGCACAGAAAATCACAGATTTGAGTTAATTAAAAGATGTATTTTCAATTTCAAGGTATGCATGTGAATACTGAATAAAATTAGAACCAATAATCTCAACCAGCTTGCTGCTAAACACGCAGTAGCCTTGCAGGAGTTAAAAATAAAATTTAGTAGACATCAATAGCTTATTGAAGAAACACTCCTTTTTTTCTTCATAATTTGCAGAAGGCTGCAAATGTCAGTCATGATGTACTGCCCCTTGAAATTAGTCAATAGAGCAAACAGCAAGAATTGCTGTGGGCAGAAAATAAGCACTGTAATCATGACATAACTGGGGTCAATGATTTATGGATTTCAATATAGTAGTAGCTGCATATGATTGAAAATTTACTAGGTCACTAGTGCACCAAAAATTTTATTCGCAGCCTCCGGGCATCTCCTGAAATGTGCAACAAAATAAAAACCTCTGAACCTGTTTTGACACTGTGTAGGCTCTGTGGATGACACGCCAACCCAGTGAGTCTCATTTAAATGCAAATGTGTCACAAACTTCTGCATCAAATCCTTTTTAAATGTATAAAATGCCTAGAAGAACATTCTAGATGGGATTGACATCCACAGTCAAACTTTAAAGAAGATTACGAAAGTAATCTTTTTCTCTGTTTTGTTTTTTTTTTTTCTTTTTTTTTGAGTTGGAAGCTGAAGCTGTGCCTGAAGTATCTGAAAAATACGGAATTAGTTCTGTTCCAACATTCTTATTCTTTAAGGTAAGAGAAAATGGATTTAAGGGAAAATGTATTCCATGTGGACTCTTAATACGTATACTTTTTTAATACTACTACTGGAGGAGCAGAACCTTAAGAGCTTTCTCAGTGAAGAAACGCTTATGTATCTGATTTAAGTCTATCCAGTGGAACCTAAAAAAGCAGAGAGAAACGATTCTTATGCTTGATATGTAATATTTCAGAGCTTCCTTAATTGCTTTGGGATTCTTACATAGTTTTTATTTTACTTGTCGTACCTTGTATTGGGTCAAAAAGCTTGCAGTAATGTTTGCTTGTCTAGCTATAGTTCTACAACATGGCAAAGCCCCAAGTGAATAATCTTTTGGTAGAAATGACAAGGCTGTTTGGGTCACGTTTGCCTGTGATAATAAAACCAAAAATATTTTCTTTAATAAATTCTTCTAGCAAATTTGCTAGCGTTAACAGTAACCAGCCAGCAGAATGGTGTGAGTCCTGGAACTAAAGTCTGGCTAGAAGATCAATACGCTAATCCACCCTGCATCTGAAAATCTATACTTTATATGGCGGTTTTGCTATTTTTTTTTATTACAGTACAAATTCTGAATTTAATCGTTTAACACGAGCCTGTGTTTTGGTTTCCTTAGAATTCTCAGAAAGTTGACAGATTAGATGGTGCGCATGCCCCAGAGCTGACGAAAAAAGTGCAGCGCCATGCGTCCAGCAGTTCGGTTTCCGCTGGCTCTAATGACAGCGTGAAGGAAGATCTCAATGTGCGTCTAAAGAAACTCATCAACGCCGCCCCTTGCATGCTCTTCATGAAAGGGTCTCCAAAAGAACCTCGCTGTGGTAAGGATTTCGTGAAGTTTGGTGTCACGGTGCTTGCTTTGAGCTGGTTGTCAGATTTACTCGGTTTTGGGGAGATACATCCCAACAGTGCCTCGTACACCTAGAAACATTAATGGAAGTGTTTTCCTATTGCTTATGTGCAGCTAGAGAATTGCTATTCCCTTAGTTCAGTTTTGGCAATGGAATCGGAGAGATTAGGGAGTTTCTAAAGAATATGGCATGTGCCATGCTATCCTTGAACTAGGACGCTTTTCCTGAGGTAGCTCAGTGTTTATTCATGGCGTATTTTGTGCATCAAGTTACACACACTGAAAATGTAAAATACCCTGAAGAGAACGTTTCAGTTCAAGGAATAACAAGAATCGACTGACATCTCGGATTACTGTTGACATTTGGAAAAAGAAAATAAAACTATCCTAGCTGGTAAAATTGAAAGACCGGTAGCGTGTGTTTCTGCTACAGCGGAAATGCCTTTTCTTAAACCTAGTGCTCTTAACCCTTCCTCACTGTTTAGAGTGCTTGGTTCCTGGCTGACTTGAAGTGTTGATCTGTACAGAAAGCACATGAACAAATGTTAAACCCCACAATTTTCCAGTACAATGAAGCTGCTGTCCTTCTGCTCACGCAGTCTCAAGAAGTTGCACCGCAGAACTGATTTTTCAGGGCCTTCTGCGGTGAGCTGCAGGAGGTAAACAGAAGAGTAACCCTGGTGTAGGACGGAGATTGCTTGACCGAACAGCAGCACTCTTGGCAGCTCTTGTCTGGTTATGGCTCCCTCTTCTTCCCGTGTCGCTCTGGGGGCATCTCTTCGGCAGTTAACACCACAACACTTCCCAGGTTGTTTCTTCTGAGCGTAATCCTAGCCTGCCTTTGCTGAAGTCTGTCTCCAGTTGTCAGTCTGCTTCTAACCCACCAGTCTTTTTCTACGGGTGTCTTACAGAAGCGAACATTTAGCTGCTAGTTTCTGTGCTGTTGTTTTCATATGCGTTTGTTCCCTAAGGCCCATTTTCCATCCTGAAAAAACAAGGAGCAAAAAGTAGTGTTGAAAAGCAACCATTCCTCATCTCCAGAGCTTCCCTTGGAATGGGAAAACTGAAAAGGTTTTATTCTGGGGATGGAAGTGATAAGATGCAACTACAAAATTCTAAAATTGAGGGAGGGAAGGGCAGTGGCGGGAGAGAAGTTGCACTGGCTTCTCTTCCTTTCTCTCCCCAAATTGGTCTAGAGATCAAATACTGCAACTTCTGCAGTTACTTCTTTGCAGTAGCTGACACTGAGATGACAAAGATTGGATTCCTTTGCTTAGCAAACGCGTGCCCTGTGTGGGTGAAGGAATGGTGAAATGTAACAGCAGAGTACAAGAATTCACAATAGCTACCTCCTTACAGCCAAGCTTCCAAAGAAAGGCTTGTGGCATATATTCATAGAATTAATAAAGAGATAACTGCTCAAAAAATTGTCATGCAAAAACCTCAGTTATTTGCGTCTAAAATAATGAAAATACCTGTTTTGTGCACCTGTACATGAATTACAAAAGCATGCGCAGGCTTGGGAGATTCCTCATAAATGTTTCTGTATCATGGCATGTGAACTAAATGTGTTTACACCACTTCGAGGAGGGAAACGAGGACTGACGGGACTATTCTTTTTGACCCCCTCCTGGTAAGGGCTCAGCCGGCGCAGCCTAGGGGCAGAGTGGTGCCTCCTGTGTCTGGTCAGGCTCCACGAGTGTTTGGTTTGAACCGTTGGCGATTTCTTGATGCCATAATTGCCAAATATCCTTGTGGCATGCACGCACTTGGCGATTTCTTGATGCCATAATTGCCAAATATCTGATGCCATAATTGCCAAATATCCTTGTGGCACGCACGCACGGCTGATGTTCCAGCCGCGGAAGATCTCACCGCGATTTTTAGATTTGAAACTCAGTTAACAGTTGCAAGTGCAGACGTTCCCGTGTAGCTGCTGCCTGTGCTTTCTGTTGGAGTGTCTCTGGGAGGTTTCCAAAAGAAACATGAGTGGAGAACTATGTGAAGGAAAACGGATGAAGGAGTTTCTTTCAGGTCCTTTTATACTTATTTTACATGTTCTGTCCATTTATCTTAACCTGGAAGGATTCAAACTGTAGTACATCAAACACACGTGTCAGCCTGGGCCGCGTGCTGTCGAGGGTGATCCTGCCCTGGCAGAGGGAGAGGAATCTTGCGACTCTGTCCCCGCTGCTTCACATTGATGAAGCGCTTGCTTACGGCTTCTGTGTGGCTTTTCTTACTGCTTTTGCCCACTGTGCCGAAGTGTACTACTTTCTTTTTTAAAAAACACTTTTTAATTTCATATTATTCTTTTAAAATACTTGCATTGCATGCCATTTTGCACTCTGCTTTTCCAGATGTTGCTGTGAAAGGGTTGTAGACAGATGAGGGGAAGTGCAAGATCCTGTGTGTTCTGAGGCTTCCCATGCTGTATTTGGCTTCTGCTCCGTTGATACCTGCGTGCTCTCTTTTTCTCCTTCATTTTCCCTTTCCAATTTCAAGGCTGCCGTTTCATTTCAATGCACTAATAGGTCCCAAAATCACTTCAGTAGAAAGCGTTTCAGAAATAACAGCAGATTTCAGAACTTCAACGTTCATTGTGCTGTTGCGTATTAGCCTGGGATTCTAGCGGTCTGTGCATAGGCATTTGCTCCTATAAAGGGCTGATGAAGTTCCATCTATTTATGTATAGATAATTCTGTATGTGTATTATGGAAGGATAAGGTTATAGGTGTGTGAAGGTTACCTATCATCATAGGAATTTGTAGATCATTCTGTAGGAACGGAAATGTTGGCTTATTCTGAAGTAGACTCGTGAAGTCCACCCGTACGTAATAGAGCACTGCTCTGATGAGCTCCTGATATTTGTGAGTGCATTTGGGGTGTCTACAGCGTAGGTTATTCAGATGCACGTGCTTTTAAGTTTAACTGCATTGGATGCTAATGTGGCGCTACTGTTGGTGAGCCCCCTGTGCTTGCGCTGCGAGTGGCTTGGCCGGTGCCTGGCAAGCTGTGAGGGTAGAGTGTGGTTTTGCTACGTCCGTGGTGAGCTCAGAGGCGTTGTGCAGGTGGTGGTGAGACTTCTCCTCTGAACCACGCGTGTGTCCAGGTTCTGTTATGCCCAAGTCAGCCTCTGCGTCAGCGTGATCAGTTGGCGCACAGGCACGCCGTTCCTCCTTTGGATTTCTGTGGGTGCTCTCTAATGGGCATTGAGGAGAATGCTGGGCAGATCTTAAAATTATGTAGAGGAAAGACCCTTTATTATTTCTCCTGTGTTTGAATTTTTGATGGGAGAGAATTGTGAGGCTTCTTAAAAAAAAACGAACAACCCACAAACCAAAAAAGACTTCGAGGCATCGAGAGTAAGGATAGTTGGGTACTTTGTCATAAACTCAATATGGAAAGCAACTTAAGGGCATAACACAGGTTCATTTGCATGTCTTAATACAATAAAGTAGATATTTCTTCAAGCTTTCAGTTCTCGCAGTTGATCCCCAGTACCCCATGAAAAGTGCACAGGAGGTACTTGCCTAAATAGAGGTATGTATTAAAATTGGAAGTGTTAAAATGTAGTGCAACACGTGAAATCATCTGAACTTGCAGCTTTTAATTTTGCAGTTAAATGGCGTGCCTGCTTTAGACTACTGTGATCGTTTCGGGCAGTAGTTGGGAGACGTTAGTGGGGTCCATTAAACTTCCTAGAATAGACAAAGCCTTTTCCAAGGTAAAGGTAACTTAGCATTTTATCAAAGGTGATGCAGATCCGTTACAACAGCAGCAGGATTAATAAAAATATAATTAAATAAAAGGAGCCACGCTTGTTTAAAGGTGAAGATATTTTTGAATTGTATCTGTTTTGATACAAGTAACAGACTTGCACTCGAGTCTTTGGAGCAGTTGGCAAGTAGAGGGAGGCCTCTCCAGCAGTGTTTTTTGGGATCTTCTAGTTGCAATTTCTTCGTTGGAAAAGCCAGCTAAGCATACTACAAAGTAAGGTTTGGCCCCTCGGCTGTGTGTTTACTGGCAGTTGTACGTGGTCGCTACGCCTGTTGTATTATTTCAACGAATTTGGACTGTGGTAGTGTCATCAATACTGTAATTTATTGAGGGTGCGTTTATCGGTGTAGAATCTGGACAGGCATTTGTAATGGTCTAGATAGCCGCTTAAAACATTTTGTTAGCAGTTTTAATTATTCCTTGTAATGTATGTAGAGCATTTCTTCAGAAATTCAGCCTAAATCTTTTGTTATGAAAGTAAAGCTGTTCTGGCACTTTGTCCCGAAGCATAACACTTCCAGACTACTACCATAACCCTTCAAAATGAAACACAACCAATCAATCTTTCTAGTTTGCATGTAATTGCCTACAGCTAAAATAAAGCTTTTTTTTTTCCCCCCTGGTTCCTTACAGTAGAAATGAGTTAATATATTGGCGATGGAATAACCATCAGCAATCAGCCTTTAGCTGTTTACTAATGAACTCCCAGATGTATGAAAAATTTCAGAATCTGTGTTTTACTTCAGGCTGTACATGAACTTAACACTTCAGTTGTAGAAAGAAAAGCAACTTAGATGCCATACATATAAATACTGCTACTTCGTATCTCAATAAATTGCAGATCGTGAAAACTGCAGAAACCTGTAGTAAAAATCCATATTTCAAAAACTAATAGGTGGTCTTGCAAGCTGAAATCAAAGGTTATTCTTCTATGGCACTTTGATTCTTTTTTCCCATTTAAAGCTTGTTTATTTTTTTATTCCTTTATTAAAGCCTTTAAGCATTGTCTTTTTTTTTTTTTTTTTAATATTTGTACAGAGGTTTTCATTTGTCTGCACAGCATTTGTTGGAATTCTTTGAGGGAGCTGGTAGGATTGCAAGGGCTTTTGAATCCAAACCAAAATGAGTTGGCGAAGGTAGAAAACACACATTATTATCATGTTGATTTATAGATAAATTCTCAAGGATCCTTTTTGCAAACCATATTTGTGTTGTCTAGGAGGCTTCTACTTCCTTAGAAGGGATGCGCACGCAAGCAACAGTGGCAAGTGCTGAAATACTTTAGGATAAAGACCACAAGTTAGAAATGGAGCCAAATTCCCAAATCTTTCAATGGATTGCCATGCACTTAGCGCTGTATCCCAATTAGCATCATTTTCATAGCAGAGCAAATAGGTCTTGGAGGAACAGTGGAGCTGCGAATCAAGATTTGATCATCAGCCCTAGAGATCAAGTCGTTGGCTTCTTTGGGTTGTAAAGCACAGCAGACCTCTTCTCATCCGTTTTCTTACGGAATAAATATCTGCAGTACACTGTGAAACACGCGGTGGGCCGGTGTCTTCTCTGGAGGACTGGTTGTGCTCCTGTGTCAGTGGACTTTGAACATCGGTCTCGAGTTCCCTTTCAGGTTACCCTGTAAAGTATGGCCTTGTTGACCTGCCTAGGTGTGGGTGGGGTGTGTGTGTGTGTGTGATTTGTTTTTTAAAGTGATTTTGAAGAGTTTCTGTAGAGACTGAGGATTTAAAATCAATTTGCCATCTTCTTAAAAAAAAAAAAAAATTCAACTTAATGCTTCAATTTAATGACAAGGGTGAATTTAAAATAGAGTAGGAGGAGAATTGTTTGAAAGTGAAATTCTGTGTGGGTTTCCCTCTAGTGTAAGAAGATTTAGGTGGTTATAGAATGTAAGTTCTAGAATGTTAAAATTTTCATATATACAATTTTTTACAAATAATGACGATTTTCTTGAGAAGATGCTTAGTTACAGAAGGGAGGAACTTTTCTTCTCAGGTTGGCCACATAATAAATTTATAAAATCTGGATGTTTACATTGTAATATTCGGTGATCAATATCCTGCTGAGAGTTGTGTCAGAGTAGGGCATAATGAAGATCTGTCATAAACGAAAACAAAACATGGTATGAAAGTGTCACAAGGGTAGCAAAATAATATTAAGTACTCATGTGAACATAAAGAGTTTAGAAAAAAAAGAAAAAGGAATCTGCCTTGTACTGTGAAGTAGGAAAGGACATGCTCTTAAAGCAAAAGTAGTAGAAAATATTGTAAAATCAGAGCTTCTAAGTTAAAATAGTGACGCAGTCGTGGGTTTAAATCCTGGTTCCCACTTTGTGTGTCAGCTTCATCTGCATGTGGCGGAGAAGCTCAGTAGCAGCTGGAAGAAGAAATGACGGGGTAGAGAAAGTGATGTGCAATCAGAGGAGTGAAAAGGTGGCTACTGAAGATGCTGTTAAGGCCACTTGGAAGCTTTTATTTGCGAATGCTCAGTGAAGAAGAGCTGGAAAAGAGGGAATGCATTTAACTTTGCTTTAATTGTACATCGGAACAACAGAGGTGCTTATATGGTTCCTTACTGTGTAGCTCTCTGCATAGAGAAGCAGCAGACTGAGCAAGCTGTCCATGTACTTGGGCTTTGTAATCCCAGTAATTTGATTTTCGCCCCTTTATAATATTTGAGGGTATTGATAGAGCTAAGGATAACACACTAGAGCTGTTTTGAACTTACTACCTGGAAGAATTGCATTTTTAAAATGAGTAAGGTTTAGTACAGATGTGGGAATGCTTTGCTTAAAATTGCATGTAATTCCTCTTTTTGTGTTTGCAGGTTTCAGCAGGCAGATGGTGGAGATACTGAACAAACATGGTATTTCGTTTAGCAGTTTTGACATTTTTTCTGATGAAGAAGTTCGTCAGGGGCTGAAAACATATTCTAATTGGCCAACTTATCCGCAGTTGTATGTAGCTGGAGAGCTTATAGGTGGACTTGATATTGTCAAGGTCAGAAACTGAGAAATTCTTAATCTTGTTAGTTGTCAGGAGTGTGTTTTTCTTGCTTTTTACATCTGATTTTACTGCTCCCCAATCTCCCTAGGAACTTGAGGCATCTGGAGAGCTGGACTCGGTCTGCCCGAAGGCACAGAAGTTGGAGGACAGGTATGATGTATTATGTCATTTTTTTTTTAAGGGTGTCTGTTCTGAGGTTTCCTGTATCTTCATTTATTTATATAGGGGAACCCCCTATATATATTTCTGTTCTTTGACTTTATCAGAAGTGCGTCAAGATTTTCTTTAATTACAGAACTCCTGCAGTTATTTAATACGTTCCATTTTCTATACAGTAAGCATCACTTAATATAAAGCTATACTGTTATATAAGTATTAAATGACACTGTTCCAATAGGCTTTACTTATTACATTTGTACTTGCTAATTTTTAATTAAAGCAGGAATATATAGATTCCTTCTTGTCTCTTTTGTGGATTTATTCTTTAAAAATAACTGGGAAAAAAATGTACTCTTGGAATCATAGAATCATTAAGGTTGGAAAAGACCTCTAAGATCATCAAGTCCAACCGTTGACCCACCGCCAACCCAATGTTAAACATTAGTAGCTTTTGTTAGCGTCATTTGGCACAGACATCATACCTGTGATGTCACTGGAGAAAATATCTAGGCTGGGCTCCTCATTTTTCTTGATTACTCATGTCCTTCAGTTCCTGTTTTCATTCACCTTGGCAACATGAATATCTGCTGCAGCAGTAGGAAGCGTGTTGCTTCCGGAATCAGATGGAATATCTAGAAACCAATTTGCTCTCCTTTAACCTTCCCATTTGAAGATTCACTCGTGTTTGAAATTCCGGCGTGCCCCAGGCAGTCAAGCTCCAGATATCTGACAAGTCATTCTGTTTGAGAAGTTGCTAGTAGATGTGGCTTTTTTCCCCCCTAGTTTTTATGTGAATAGTGCCATTACGATACGCAAAGGGGGGGCTGGTTTACCAAGAAGGTGGCCTGTACCTCGAAGGCAAATATATTAACATAGATTCCCTCTTGCTGTCTGTGCATGGTAAGAGCAAGTGCTCTAGAGGTGACTGGTTCTGGTTCTTTTGCCTTCTCAGCACGGTGGAGAAATAATGTAATGCAAGCCATTTTGATACGGTGATAAAGTGTACTTACTTCTACACCTGTGTATTTATTAATTTATTTTTAATTTTTTCTATGGCTGAGGTTTACCTTTTGTTTCTTTAGTAGGGTAACTTTTAAATTGTTTCACCGAGACCACAAAACCCAATCACTGCCTTTTGCAATTTGAGATTAAGTTATAGGTAAAGATCAGATTGTCTCAGTATGGCCTTTTAAAAAATTATTTTAGAAAGCTTCCTTTGGTCTCTTGTTGCAAAGTGGCATAAGCTGCAACTTTATTGAATTAATACGTAGTTTTTTTGCTTTGCTTAATTTTTTGGGGGAAGGAAGATAACGGGAAATGGCCTCTGCGTACCTAATGTGTTAATAGATTAAAATTGTTGGTATAGCTAAATGTCTCCCTAAGGGGGCAGCATCATCATCTTTTGAACAGGTGTGTGAAGTTTTTACCAATTTTATCAAATTTTGATGTGGAAGTGGCCTGAAGGCAAACTGGCTAAAAATTCACCAGACAAATCACAAGTAGCTTCGTGTCGCCTGGTTTTGTTCTTCATCTTTTAGTAGGTGTTTGTTTCTTGGGCTAACATGAGATAGTTAGCTGAGGTCTGTCTGCTGTTTTCTGGGGACAACTGGGAAGGTCTTTTTCATGACACCGGTTAGTTTTTCTTTGTGCTAACCTCCTCCTTCTGAGCAACTGGCGCCTGTGAAACTACAGTCACTCTATCAGTCACTCGTAAGAAAAACCCTATGAGGTAGTTGTTCAAACATGGTAAGGCTTAATAAAATGAAAGACTATCAGTAGTCAAATCTATTTAATGCTAAATTATGTTCCTTTGCTCAGTGTTTGATCTCTTCCCATCAATTAACTGTGTCTTCTTCACTTGAAAATACCCTTAAGAATGGACTCTGGAAATGGGCTTGGTTTCACAAACAGATCTGGCAGCTGGGGAGCGAGCTCCGATTACTGTAGCTCACCCTTGCTGTAACTCTTAGTGTTGCTTTTTAACCTAGAGACAACTTGGCTGGAAAAATTGTTTTGAGGTTTACATGTACCAAGGCTGTAGGTCACCAACAAAACTTAGTTTTATTTTGCAAAGACCCTGGATTCTCCAGTCTAGAATCTTTTTGCATTGTGCGAGTCGCACAAAACGACCTTTTTACAGAACATGCGTAGCAGGTGAGCATTTTGTGGAGGGCAGTTTGGCCTTAGCAGGAAACTGTAGGACAGGAGTCTTGGCTAACTTCTGCCATCGATTGTCACAGAAAGCCTCTCCTGAAAGGAGAGGGAAACAAGGGGAGTGTCAGGGCGGTGCAGCTAGACCAGAAGTGGACAGGGCCCATGGGGCAAACCAGACCTATTCCCAAATTTCAGTAGCGGTTAGTCCATGGATCTTACGACTGATGGGCAATAGGTATGGCTCTTACTCTGCAAAAGGCATTCTCACATGGAGAATGGGAAATGCCAGGTGTTCTATTCAGTATGTGAAAAAACAATGTATCGCTAAATATAGACACTGTATTTAACATAGCCTAAAATGATGTTTCTCCTTAAACTTATTGCTGCTTGATGCTTAGAGGTCAATCTAGAAAAGTAACTTGTTGCTCTGAAAGTAACAGGATGGTTTGGATTCATTGGCTGGAGTTGCTGTAAGCAATTTAAATGACTAGAGTTGCTTATAATAATGCTTTAAATGCATTTGGTAAAGGTGTAAGTTCCTATCTTTTCACTTTTGCTTTTTGTTTTCCTGTTGAAACAAAGCTTGGGGTAATAACCGAGCTGTTTTGTGTCTTTCTCTTTCATGCCTTCTGCAGGCTTAAAACCTTGATAAACAAAGCTCCTGTGATGCTTTTTATGAAGGGAAGCAAACAGGTAAGACTAATTTATATAGGTATATTATATTTAAATTTATATTAAGATATATTTATTATATTTAAATTTATATTAAGATATATTTATTATATTTAAACAGTGACAATTACTTTTTTTTTCCCCTTGCTTAATGCAAATTAATGGTGTGGGGAAGTTAGTTATGTGTCCTTTTATTTGGTGCTTCTATAAGCCAGAGGAGCAGTTCCTGTTTTACCTGATGGGTAGATATTGCTAAAATGCTGATAGCTATGTTACAGTAAAATCGGGGAATTTGATGCCCTGCAGTGACGTCTGTCAATTGATCTCCAATTCAGGAATGAATGGAAGAACTGTGCATGTCCTTTTGGTCTTAGGTATCGATTGATTGTCTTTGCAGATAATGGATTTGCTTCTGATGTTCTGAGTGCTTGCCCCCGGTGGCTATCCTACTTGAGGTGTACGCTCTGAGTGTTGCCCAAAGCTTTATCTCCGGGCGCGTGTTTCTTGAAATTTCCCTCTGTTGAGCTGATTGGATTGGGTGTCCCGTCCTTTTTAATATCTCTGACTTTATTACGCTTTTACCACTGCGTTTAAAAAAACCTGCTAGATGTTTTTAAGGCTAAAGTGTAATGCCACATACCATAAATGATCCTTTTTTTTTTCTTATTCTCGTGTGCACGGAATGGTCTATGCCTGGTGTCTTTAAGCTGCACTTAATTATCTTGCTCACTGAAATATAGATAGTGACTGAAGACAGACAACTGCTAACAGTTAGGATTAAAATAATAACAAATGATTGTAAACCAAAAGGTCAGTCTATTGCTTTGTGTTGCATACTCAAACAAAGTAACCAGGGGATAAATTATCATAGAAACCCAGAATGGTTTGGGTTGGCAAAGCCCTTGAAGCTCCCCCAGCCCAACCGCTCCCCTACCCCTGCCATCCCACCCCCAAACCCTGGCCCTCAGCACCGCCTCTGCCCGGCTGTTAAATCCCCCCAGGGGTGGGGACTCGACCCCTTCCCTGGGCAGCCCCTTCCAGGCTTTTTTTTTTTTTTATTTGTTTATAAATTACTCCCTTTTGAACAGCATGGCACTGTGATTCTTCCTGTCCAAATTGCTTGAAGGGCACCTAACTCAGACTTTTCATTGGAGTAATGTACCCTAAACAATAGTTAGTGATTGCATGTTAGGCGAATCATTTATATGGTATTTTTTTTAAAAGGTAGGGGACCGAGCTCGTTCATGTGGCTTGTCGTTCCATTTAATTTTCTCATTTGGTCCCTGAGCCTTCTCTGTGTATTAACAACAGATACTTTTAAGAGTGTTACAGGCTGTTTTACTAAGCCCTTTCCTAGCCACTGTGGGTTGTGCTGACTTGCTGAAATAGTGGCAATGAGCTAGTTGGGCTTAGGTCTTCTAAAGAGATGCACTTCTATCCCCTTTAAAACCTGTCTTGCCTACAGAAAACAAGAGTTTGGGCAGGTTGCTTAACACGCTTTGATTCTTGCTTGAGCTAGAGGTGGAGTGAAATCACCAGTAAGAAGGGACAGTCTGGATTAAATATTCAGTGTCTAAAAACCAATGGGTGTCCTGTGTGCTTACACTGTCAATATGAAGAGCTTGCAGTAGATACTTTCAATTATTCATTTCAGTTGGGAGTTGCTGTACGTGCAGCTATTTATCAGTTGACCGTAGGTCACTACTCTCTCCAGTATGGTGAGTAAAGGCTAGTGCGTCTCAAAATAACCACATCTGTTTTACAAATGCATTTAAGGCACTTGTACCCATCACACCTATAGCTTTGGCTTTTTGAATGTTCAGAAAACAATCAAGCCTAGCTAGTTTTCAAGATAGTATTGCCAGACCTGGAAAAGGGATTCACATTGAACACTTTCCTCAGCTGTGGTGTGAAATGATACAATGTCCTCAATGTTTTCATTTATTCCAGCAGAGTATATAAAGAAAGAGACATTCGGTGCTGTTTAAAGCTCAAAGACTATAAAGAAGAATGAAAAAGGGATTAGCGGTATTGCTCATCCAGTAAGGTCATCACTAGCAATAAATTGGTAATAGCTTTAGTGTAGCTTGAGGACTTGGAGTTTTGTGGATTAAATGCAGCAGATGCATGTTTTAACATATGTGTGTTTTGCATTTTAGATGGCAAAATGTGGATTCAGCAGGCAGATTGTAGAAATCATAAATAATACTGGGTACGTAAGTGGATTTTTTTTTTTTAATTGAATTTGGAGAGCCAGTTCTGTTCTAAAAACTACATTTTATAAATGAAGGGTTTGGAAAACATTAGTGGAAGACTTCCCCAACCGTGATTTTCTTTAAGAGCATTCTAAAGTATCTTTATGTAAAAGCCCATGGAATAAATCACTACTCCCACGATTCGATACCAAGTCAAATGTGGTGTGTCGGATCTTGCACTGCTGCAGCACTACCACACAGCGATTGTCTTGCTCGCATTGAGGAGTTTATTGCAACAGTGAATTTTTTTTCTTTTTCTTTCTGTGATTGTTGACATGAAATAAATCCTTCCACTCTGATAAGCAGCTCGTCTTAGAGAGGTCCCTCTTGATCTGCTTTCTTAATCTTGGAGCCTCTCATGTTATCTAGCCTCAGTTTTCCTCTTCAAAGCAGTTCTTTCTGTAGTGAGAGAGATTGGTATCATCTCCCTTTGAACGAACTCCTGTTTCATTTGTACTGCGAGTTAGAGGTTAAGCAGTTGTCTTGATTACTAGATGTTAGAACGGGCTTTTTGAGATGATAGACAACTACATACCAATATACAACTCGGAAATAAGTAGCAGTTGCTGAAGCCGTTGTTCCTAGTTGCTGGCCCCAGTCTGCTTGCAGGAATCTCAATAGTTGCTGGTTATTGAAGAGTGCCAGTTCTTACAATACTAGGAATTGCGTACCAAAACGCCTGTGTGAATCAACCAGAAATCAAATTTGCGCAGGCATTTTGTTTTTGTGATTTTTACACAAGTCATATATGAAGATGGCGAAACAGCTGCAGTTGGTTGAGTCCTTAATAAAAACTTCTGGGGTGTGTGTGTATGTGGCTTTTTTTGTGTTTGGGTTTTTTTTTTTGTTGTTGTTGGTTTTGGTTTTTTTTTTTTTAAGCTAATAGTGAATGGAATGGCTTTGAACACATTTTGACCAGTTAGAACCTAAGCTACACAGCTTAGTTTAGTGAGTTATGCTGTCATCTGTGCATTTTAAGGAGTTTCCTATGAAACCAGACACTTCTAATATTAGTTCTTGATGCATAAGGCATTGACTTTTTATCCCTGTATTGCCTGTTAATTCTGAGTGATTTGGAAGCTAGCTTGTAAATGTACCCATTTAGAATTTTTCAGGGTCTTGCATTGCAAAACTCCACAGTTGATGATTTTGGTTTTTTTTTTTTTTTCTTTTTCCTAGTGTTGATTATGAGACATTTGACATACTGGAAGACGAAGAGGTAACTAAGCCGCTCTACCGTTGGGGATTTCATTGTTGCTTTTACTAAAGTTGAAGTTTACATTTAAGATTATTTTTCTCAGGTGCGGCAAGGATTAAAAACCTATTCAAACTGGCCAACCTATCCTCAGTTATACGTGAAAGGTGAACTTGTTGGAGGGCTGGATATTATTAAGGTAGGAATGGGGGAATCTGGTTTGAGATGCAAATTGAATGTTTGTTTAAAACTGGAGAAATGTTTTCTGCCCGTAATGTACAGAAATCCCTGTGTAGCAGCCCTGGATCTTGAAACAGGATGACTTGGTTGTTTTTACTGTGACTTCTATTAGCTCTACGTACAGCTGAAAGGAGCTCTAAATCTCTAGCATTCTCATATGCCGAGATTTAGCAGTGAAATGTATTTTCTTGACAGCAGTCAGTTACTGTTACTGTAAAGACCATTTTTACCCCGTGGGTGCGTTTTTACAGGTTTCTTTTCCTAGTTTTACTTCCGACATTGCTTTTCTCAAATAAGGTGGGTGAGACTTTTTTTTTTTTTTTTTTTCCTAGCAAACAGTCTCATTCCTGGAAGAAAGCAAGGTTTATTGTAGTTGTTTGAACAGACCCTGAAGCAACAAAAATAGATCTGCATCTCTTACTGTGGTTTTTGATTTTTGTAACAGAGCAGGCACAGTGTTCTAAACCCCAAATACTCTTGAGCCCATTCTTGTCTGAATGTTTTATAGCCAATTCCTCAGACATTGTAACTCCTGGGAAGATACAATCAATAAATCTCATTTAGTTCTAAAAATAGTGGTATTACTTAAATTATATAGATTACTTTAATTTTATTTATTTAACAAGCATGGGGGTTATTTTGGTGATCAGCAAGTATAGTCTCGGGCATTGTGGAGATGCTGCAAAAAACTTCCCTCGCTGGTATTTAAATGTAATTCGTTTGCATTGTTGGGCTGCATTCAGTTCACACTGACTCACTTGTACGCGTAGATGAATGTTGTCAGTATTTTAAAATACATTCCCTAATATAGCTTAATATGTAATAAAATTGAGACAACTGTTTCTCTGAGGATGTAGGAAAAGAATATACACTCCACAACACGTTATTTGAAAACTATTTCCTGGCGTTGTCTAGCTCTTTAGTCAGTTAACAGCCTTATAATTTGAATTTAAATCATCAAGATAATATGGGTGGGCACCTCTTTAGAACTCCTACAAATCTCTTACTGTCTTGTTGGTTTTAATGTGTGGTAGTAACAAAATCTAGCGATGGATGGTCATTTTACCGTTTTGTGGAAGGCTTTTTGGATGTTGTAAAACTTTGTGTGTGTCTAAAATACATCTTGAATTACATGTAGGAGGAGATGTACCGGGGATTTACCTGGTAAAGCTGATAACAACCAGTTCCTTTGAAGGTGTATCTTTTCGCTAAACTAAGTTTCCTATCTGACTGAATAGATGCAAAATAGAATTTAAATGCAACACTACAAACTTCAGTGTCTTGGTCAAGAGGGACCTCTAGTGGGTCATTCCCTTAATAGCCAGGGAATCGATTTCCTTATCCGGGAACTGTCCCTATTGAAATCTTGTTAGCGTAATCACGGAATGTACGCAGAGAATAATTGCTGTGTATATTTCTTTACAGGAACTAAAAGAAAGTGGTGAATTGTTGCCTATTCTGAAAGGAGAAAATTAATGGAAAAGGACATCAATGGGAACAGAAATACGTTGAACAATGACTCATTTATAGATTGTACTGGAGCAATATGCAACTTAGCCTTGTGGAACTGGTCAGGAGTAAATAAAGACGGCTTATGTACTCTGTATTTCACAAGACCATGCTACGTATGAAAACGTGTTGCCACTGAAGATACAAAAATGTCAAGATCTTCAAATTCAATTAAAATATAATACTAAAGAACGTTGGGTTTGTTATTATACCTTTTCTGTGTATTCATTGCATCTAAACGTTTAAGAATTGAGTAACGACACCACTATCCATTACAGTACTATGTAGGACTAAACGGTGTCCTTTTTTTGGGCTCAGCTCTCATTAGGAGAATATTAATGGGTATAGCTCTGTGGTATGGAGCATAATAATTTTCTGTCGCTGTTAATAATTGTTTTCATGTCTAGTGAGCAGGAAAAATACTATTGAAACCTTAATCCAGTGTGCTGTTAGGAAGTTGTTATTAATGAGTTTCAGCTGTATGCTATGCATCTTCATTATCAAAGTAGGTAGAGTAATTGTTAATTTCAGATGTTCAGCCTATTTTAACAGAGCTTTTTGGACATGTTTAAATTACGGTAGAAATGAGCCAATAAACACAGTTATTAGGCCAGTCTTCTGGTGTATCATCAGCTCTCCTTCAGTTAGATGGAAAGGTTTACTTTCTGGGCTATGACTTTGGCAATTGAAATAATCATGTTAATATGTGAAGCCTTCACGTCTTTATTCAGAGGATTTGATTTGGTTTTAATCCTTTTTTCAATACCTCTAATGCTCTGAAATACAAGGGGCTCTAACAACGGCCTGACCATCAAACCAGCTACAGCAGGGGTGTACTCGCGAGTACAGGCGGGTATTTCTCTTCAAGAGAAACATTTTTTTGCTTTCTGGTCTTTTGAGTTCTTAGCATCTGTGCTGAGACTAAGGAGGTTTTTATTCTGGAAGGTGTTTTTGTGTCTGCGAAATGCTGAAATATTTCTGGTTAATTACCTATAGACTGCTGTGTGTGACAGCAGTATCAGCTGCTGGTGACTCCTAGCTGTGAAATGCTGGTTTGAACTGTCTTGAGTGCATTGGCTATACACAGTAAAGAGGACAAGGACACCGTATTCTTAGAGAGGTCTAGAACCTGAAGAGGTGCAAGCTCCTCTTACGAAACCCAGAAAATAGAATCATAGAATCGTTTAGGTTGGAAAAGACCTTTTAAGATCATCAAGTCCAACCGTTACCCTAACCCTGCCATCCCACCACTAAAATAAGGCACTGGCGAGCAGAAAAGTGCCCAAACCTCACCAGTAATACACTTTGAGCAGAGAGGTATTGCTGAAAGCCTTTTCTTCCCTCGCTGATTTTTGTGTTGGTTGTGCTTGCAGAGAAACACCTGTGTCTGCTCAAGATCCGTGGCCAGAAACTCTTCTGAGGCGTTGCTTCCTTGTTAGGAGAGGTCAGGACTGACTGCGCGCTCTTCAAAACGTGCCTGGAAGAAGGGATGCCAGATGAGTTAGGTGGTGCGAAGTTTTAGGCAGCAGCTGAGAAGTAAGGTTTTGGAAGCAAGCCGGGGCCTTTGTTGCTTAAATTCTAAATATAATCTCAATACATTGGAACCTGAAGGAAGACTGGTATTGAACTTAGTCCCAAACGAGTACAGGTAGGCTGCAGAGAAAAAGGTACTTGCATCAATCACTAAGAATTCTGTAACGTATTTAATTCAACACGAGTATTAATTTTCTAGGAATAATTTTAGTAATTACTGTAAGATAGTGTATGTTATAACTTTAAAACCAATTTTAATCACTATAAAAAAAAAAAAATCTCGTCCCTCTCACAAAAACAAGCCTTAATTAATCTCGCAAAGTGAATTGCAAATGCATCCAGGCAGTTGTCAGTAGTAATTGTAACCTACTTCATATAAAAAAAAAAAAAGAAAAAGAAAAAATATACTGAAAAGTAACATCCCTGTGGTCAAATTAAAACATGATTAAATACAAAATGCTATTTCTTCTGCTATAGCTTTCCTTCAGAATTCGCTATGGCGCAATTTAACTACTCGAGGTTTATAGAGTCCTGCTAATATAGCTACAGAGCTGCAAAAGACCACCAGTGAATAACAGTTGTTTCTCTGACAATTTACATTTTTATATTCCATCTATTCCAGTGCTACACTTCTTACACCGGTACGGAATTTATTCTTGAAGCGAAACTACTGTGCTGCTGTTCGTGTTTGGTGACTGTTCTCTTAACTTGTCATGGTGCTCAGCTGAGGGTCTCCAGCCTTGGTAATTAGCAACATTTGGTATATTTAGCGCTCCTTCTTCTGTCAGAATTCATTGTAAACCCACTCTGTAGAAGTCAAAATGGCACTGTGGTGTCATTCCAGACTTTCTGGAAACAAGCACTTCTAAAAGCGCTTTTCTAACCCATTCCACCTCTGGCTGCGAGCGTAGCCTGTGGCTGGGCTCGGAGGGCTTGGGGGCTGCCCGTGCGCCGCAGGGAGGCCCCCCCCCAGATGGGGGTGTTCAACACGGCGACTCGGAACGTCACCCTCCAGTGGTTCAGTGGTGTGAATGGGGCATCGTGTCTGAATTTCACGCTGGTGCTGGTAAAACGCCTTTGAAAGCGGCGTATTTCTGCGCAGGGCTTGCGCTGCTGCGTGGTGTAGGTACGCCCCTGCGGCCGTGTGCAATTTAAGGATTTGTACTGAGTCCGTGTATGGGCTTTACTGTGCCGTAGCTGTGATTTTTGGTTAGGGTTTGTTTGTGTCTAAGGAGCTGCAGAACTGTTAGCTGCGAGCTGCCTTGGCAAAGGGAGGGATGTGTGGGTGGAGGCTGCCTCTCCGTGGCAGGAGAGCGTAGGTTGCATGAGCGCGGCTGCCCTGCGGTCCCCTCCTGGCTCAGCACGAGAGCGCCGGGAAATCTGCGGCTGCATAAAACACGCTTGGAAACAATTTCAGCCATATGGCCAAAACCTTAATTCAAGGGACTGCTGGGGAGCGTGGCTTGTACGCTGCTGCTGGCATGCAGGGATAACTCGTGCCCTTCTGTAGGAATACGCGATCCCTCGGCCTCTGGAATAGACAGCTACTGCTGGGGGAAAAAAAAGTGTTTGGCTTTACATGGAATAGAAGAGACTGCGGGTGTGTAGTTTATCAGCGCTCGTAATGAGATGAAGATGAGGTAGATGAATTCATCACGGGATGAAGTAGCCAAGGGCTGGTAAGAGCTGGTGGAAGTTAGGCGGTGGATACCTGTAACCAGTGTAGGGGCTGGTTCTGGTTTCAGCTTTCTGCACGCATGTTGCCTTCTACAAATGTGGGGTTTTTGTACTCTTCCCAAAGTCACTCCTCTTACCTGCTGATAGAAAGTACAGACCGAGGTCCTTAAGTTTTCTGTAAGTTAGAATGATTCGGGCAATACTGTTAGGCGGTGTTCCCAGACCTCTAAAGTTGAACGTGGGGAGGCCTGGGGTCACTGTGCCGGGAGGCATCTGAGGAAAAATGTGTGTTTTGCACAGAAGGGGAAAAAGGCAATGGAGTGTCGGAGCTACAGTCCACTAAGTGAAGAGGTAAGTGAGGGCTTGAGCTTGCAGGGCTGCTAAAGACGGCATGGTACTCCTTACCGGTGGAGAAGTATTTCACATCAGTGTTTAGGTGCAATTAAGGTAACATTTTCTGCTTATTTGTATTTTGCTCTTTCTTTTGCTTTCTTTTCCTTGTCCCAAGACTTCAGCTAGATCTTTTTCCCTGTACTTTAATACTAGGGTATAAGGAAAAAAATTAACCATGAGGACGGTTGCCTCGAGAGGTTGGGGCTCTCCATCCTCGGAGGCGTTTGGGTCTCAACTAGATTAATCTCGGAGAAACCTGATCTGATTTAATCCACTTTTAGCAACAGGCTGGACTAGATGATGGGTAGAGGTCTGTCCCAACTGAATTAGTCTCTGCTTTTACATGACACAGTAGTGAAGCGTTCGTGGATAGTGAAAAGCGGTCGTGGATAGTGTGCAGGACAGCACCTACAGCTCCCTTCGAGTGGTTAAAATGAGAGCCCTGCTGCAGCAATTAACTGCTGTATGGTATTAACTGTGATAACTTTGCCTAACCAGGTAACTGCCATCCCCGTCACCTCTGTGCTTGAATAAGAAATACTTGGAAAACACTATGAAGTGTTACAAAGGAAATAGTATGGACTGTTCAGGTTTTTAAAGCCAAGTGCCGTATAGCTGAGAGAGGTAATGCAGCATCATTTCTAAATTAAAAATCTGGCAGTATGTGAACATTGGTTAAAGGCTTCTGACAGTCCAAGGAGAAATTTCATGCAGCTAACGATTCTAACTAGGGGAGTATTTCTTGGAAAGTTGTCAGAAAGATCCAGTGTCTCGTTTTGTAGCACTGAGGCAGGAGTGGAGGAGGGCAGTGGCTTTTCTTGTTTTCTTCAGGTTGTATTCCAGGCAGCCGATTCGGAAGGGACTATCGAGCTATTCAAAAGCAATCAATGAGCGTGGGCTGAAGGAGCCTGGTTTTGGCTCGTCCCTGCCCGTGCCTTCCCTCATCTTCCCGAAGGGCGTGTGTCCCGCTCCGCCGCAGCATGAGCAGAGAGCATCGTGACTTCTGTCCGGCTTTGCGCAGGGCAAGGCGCTGTCTTCCTTTTCTCCTGGCCGTACATATCTGCTCTGTCCTGACCTGCGTGGTCGGGGGAGCAGAGTCCCTTCCCAGGCTAGGGAAACCCTTGGAAGTGGGTTAATCAAATTAAGGGGAGAGGAGGCGGAGATGTTGGTACAGTCCTTGCCTCCTTTTTTTAGGAAAACTTGGATCCCGCTGTCAATTCAGGGTCTGTAAGTCCTTCAGCCACGTGGTAAGCATTTACTGTTCTCCGTCGCGATGGAGTCGTGGTCTGTGTGCGTGTGAAATGTCTCCCCTGTACAGGAGCTGTTCGTGGCCAGCCACACCTGCAGTTGTACTGGTATTTCTACTAACTTTACTGCTTGTGCACAGAAATGTTTTAAAACTTGAATAGAGGGATTCCTGGTGTCTAGTAGAGAAAGAAAAGCCCTCTCCCTTCTGCGTGTGCTGAAGACCTCGGGTGTAACAGGACTGATGCTTTGGTGGGACTCTGCATTCCACCCAAGCTTCTGGTTTCCTAAAAGCCATTTCATTTAAAAAAGGCAGGGAGGGATGACATATCCAGCATGTGAAACTCTGCTTTGGGCTTGCTAAAAGAAATACTGGCAGTGCCACCTCGTGTTGGGTCCCACCAGATGCTGTCCCGTAAGGGCTCTCTGAGTGCCCAGTGCCTCGGTGTCCCTGATGGCAGCCCTGGGTTCAGGTGGGCTCCGTGGCCTCCGCACACTTGGCCGAGGTGCAGGATGAGCTTTGGCTGGTTGCTCTGGTCACAGTAGCCTCAGGCAGAAGTGAGGTGGGAGCGAGGGGGGAAGGCAGTGCTAGCACTCTGATCCCAGATGAGCAGAGGCTGGTAGGGCACGGTTCAGGGTTCATCAGAGCAGATACCAGGTTGCTGTGCTTCATAGCCTTTTACTCTCAAAATGCTTCTCCCGCTGACCCATTTCCCGTCTTCTTTCCTATCTTAAATTGAGATCCGTTTAAGCTCTGGTCTTCCTGAGAAGATGTGAAGGGAGGGGGAAGGATGGATCACAGACTGTTGCGGCCTTTTCCCTTCAAATCTACAAAGGCGTCCTGTAAATGTGGAAGAGAAAGGTGCACCCTATGTTCACGTGGTGAAAGGCTCCAGGTTGACCAGTTCTAACTGGTTAGGTTCTCCTACAAGAAAGAAAAACATGTTTCCAGGGGAAAATGCTTCCTCCATGTCCTGCCTGAACACTGAACGTGAGGTGAGGCAGCAGTGGGTCCGGTCAGCTTTCCCTGGGGTGGGCTATGCCAGAGTCCCCAGGTCTGGCTTACAGCAGCTCAGGTGCTAAAGCGACCCCACCGAGGGCCTGGGGGGCTGCGGGAGGGTTGGTCTGTCGTTGCCTTTGCGCTGGGCTCTTCCCGTGTGCTGCCTGTCCCTGGTAAATGCAATGAATTCCACAGGCGCTAGATGACTTGATGATCTTAAAGGTCTTTTCCAGCTTAGACGATTCTATGATTCTATGGTTTCTTGAGACAAAACCCACAAACTTTTGCCTCTTCCCAGTCATTTCGTTGAACAGAGGCTGTGGTAGTACAGCGCCTTTCCTTGCTGGTGCTGTGCCTAGTTTAGAATTGGTTCATAGTGTTATTTTTAGCAATAGGCAAGACTTAACCTTGAGGACAGAATCTTCAGAAGCAGCTGCCACCCATTGCTGGTTTTGTGACCTGATGGAGGGTGCACCTTCGGTCAGCACGTTAGTTAAAACTGGTAAAACGGTGAATAGTTAAATGTAATTCAGACATCAACGTGCTTCCTCAGTGCTCCAGGAGGAAAGCCACCTTGTGTGTGTCTAACAAGACCGCTTTATAAAGCTGAAACTTCAGGCATGAATGCAACTGGTGAGCAGCCTGATCCGTACAGTGAAAAGCATGGATATGGGTGTTTTAAAAAACAAACAAACAAACAAAAAAAAAACCCACAACAAACCCCACAAAACCAACCAAAAAAACCCCCCCAAAATCCAAAACCAAACCCCCAAAAGAGCCCCCCACCCCAAAAAAGAAGCCAACCCAAAACCCAACCCCAAAACCCAGTCCTAGGGTGTATTCTTATCAGAAGGCTGGCAGCAGAAGCCCAAGGAAGGAGGAGGAGGTGTGAGGTGAGGGCTCTTGCTGCTCGGGAGGTGGTCGCCCTTGCGGGTAACTTGGTAGGGCCACCGGGCCCACAGCGAGCTCTCCCACGGGTTGCTGGATTGTTTTTGGTTTTTTGTTTTTTGTTTTTTTTTTTTTTTTTTTTTTTAAAGTTTAAAGCCAAAACTGTAGGTAGCTGTTTACAAGGGCAAACTTGGACTCTTCAGCAAACCCCAGCTGGCAACTAAGCCCCACGCAACCACTCTCTCTCTCCCCACCTGGTAGGATGGGGGAGAGAATTGGAAGGGTAAAAGTGAGAAAACTCATGGGTTGAGATAAGAACAGTTTAATAATTGAAATATAATAATAATAACAAATTGTAATGAAAAGGAAAACGAGAGAGAGAAACAAAACCTGGGGGAAAAAACCAAGCGATGCAATTGCTTGCCACCCACTGACCGATGCTCACCCTGTCTCCAAGCAGTGATTGCTGCTCCCAGCCAACTCCCCCAGTTTCTATACTGGGCGTGACACCCTATGGTCTGGAATAGCCCTGGGACCAGG